GATGGCATAAGAGCTGCAACACCATCAAATTCAGCAAACATGGCTGAATACCCAAAGGACAAGTCATACAAAACCAAAGACAGCACAGACTACTGGAACGACTGCATCATTGTGTGGGGAAGGGTTTCCACTGCATTGGCATACTAAATACAGCACTCCTTTCACGAGAGACTTGACTCTGAATGCCAACTGAGCATCAAGTTTGGCTGCATCTTTTCAGAAAAGATGTTACACTAACAGACTAACTGGTTTCCAAGAGCTTCAATAGAAGATCAGAATTTAAAACAGAATTTATCCTTGACTGTTGCCCCAGACTGACAAGGTGAGATGAGCTACTACAGTGCTGACGACAAAAAAAACAAAAAAAAAAAAAACGCACCACTTCCACGACAAACTAGAGCTCACACTCCTTCACAGAGGAGCGAAGGTCAATGTGGGGCTTCATTTCAGAGCCCAAAGTTCAACAAAACAAGCAACAAGAGGCAAGTGCTTTTGGGACATTATGCTTTGCAAATTAACCCATCCACTTCTGTGTTCGACATTGTAACCGCCATAAGAACCAAAACAATAAGACCAGCAGGATAAAATTAGAGAAAGAAACGTGATCGCAGACGAAGAGGGAAGCGATGCATAAAAGATGTGTGGCGGCTAGTCACGTCCCCAAGCCTCCCGCAGCCTCCCAGCGCATAGTGGGTGGGGACATGCCCATGCAATTCCTCTGACATTTAACCTTATCCTGTGATATTTCTAAAATTCACCAGGCAATCGATAAGAACTTAAATCGTCTATGCATTGTTAGTGCAATTCATCGTCGGCAACTTACCCATTAACTCCAACTTTCACCATTTTGTCGGGTTTGGTCTAGTGCTCTGAAAAGATACACATTAGTCATTTCCTCCTTCATAAGGACAGGACCAATACCTCACAAGGCAAATTTAGTTAGGTTAGCACATGGCTCTCATGGGTCTTCATACGGACACGTTTAAGGTCTCATGCATTGCAAACAGGTTCATGTTAATACAGATAACCTGTTAAGAGATATGCTGATCCAGCACGCAGCTGCAATAGGCTAACTCTATGCGGAGAAACTTCCCTTGTTAAGAAATAAATCGCGCAACCCGATTCCGCAAAGCCAAATTAGGTAACTGCTCCAACAAATTAATTCGCATATAGCAATCACATCATGTACTAACGGATTAAAGGCGCTTTTTGATCAACCAAACGCAAAAAAAACCAAAACCCGAGAGAAACGCAACTGCGTAACGTCGCCATTGAAAGCCCCATTCAGCGAGTTACAACGGAGTTATAACCTCCAGACTCGAATAACGATCAACTTTTAAAAACGTATTATACTATACGATATATAATATAGCAACCACAACCTCAAATAGTTACATTTTAGCTTTAAAATATCCGTATTTATAAAAATGGCAACAAATGTATGGCATTAGAAATACATTACGAACGTTTCTAGTCTTAAGGTTCAGGCTTACACTAAGACTGACAGTATTAAATACTGCATTTTACCGATCACGAAGCGCCTGCAGTCCTGCAATGTGAGTAGACCGGATTTGGCCGAGCTGGCACCTTTATTAGGCTGCTGGGACACGCCTCCTGACACCACTGGCTCGTAATGTCAAGGTCATCGCCATCATGGGGGAGGGAGGAAACCCAGGCCATCGCTCCCGGCGGTCTGCTGATCTTTTCTTTACAGTGCAGTCGTATAAAGATCGTGTTTAATTTAACATAATATTTATTTATTAATTTTTTTATCGTTATATGATGTATAGTTTAATATACGTTTCATTTAATAAAAATCAAATCATTCCTATGGCACGGTTCAGTTACACGTACCGGGCAAACTTTTGCCACCATTCTTTTGCTCGGATGGATATTTTACTCGTTTTTATTAAAGCTTCGCCATAATATTAAATAAAAAAATAAGAAATTTGTGCATTTCGCAGGTAGGGTGTAACAGTACATGTAATCCAATGTGTGTTTGTTAGTTGAAATATGGGGGAAATGATTACCGAAATATGGAGGAACGACATGATTGCCCAGGTGTTTAAATATGTGGATTTATTTCTCGTCTTTAAAAAGATTCTTAAATATTAATAGATACATGAATGACAGGTTTTTGTAAGGTAGTTGTAAGTATGGGTGAAAAAAAATCTTGGTTTACTCTATAGTTAAATTTTCAGATAAACTTTTTCTAATTGGCTGCAGACCTAACCTAATTATGTTGTCCCAAGTTAACAACTTCAAACTTTTTACTCTGTAAATACTATATGTAAATAACATGTTTTATGTAAATGAAACTCAATAAGAAAAAAATGTAATGCTGAGCAGATGATCGCTGGAAAAGGTCAAATGTTTGCTTAAATGTTGAGTACCAAAGAACACAGGGTGCATGTAGAAAGATTTGTAGAAGTAGGCAGGCAAATGTCTGACCTTCTCCCCAGCAGTGCACAGACAGTGAGAAGGATCAGATCTCGGTTTTTTAGGGGGGTGACATTTAACAGAAGGACCATGACCCCTTTTTTTCACCCTCTTGCTGTCCCCCTATTTCTGGTGTGCTGGTAGCCAGAATCAGCCTGAATCAGAACAGGCAGGGCCACAACTTGTGCTGTCATTTAATGAAGTATATCAAAAACATGTTAGGGGTCGCTTAGCAAATCGTGCATCCAGTTGTAGTTAACTTGTTGTGGAAGTGAAGGCCTGCAACTCAACTGATTCTGGTGACGTTTTAATGGAATTGCAAAGTGTCTCTTCTATAAGTATAACAGCTCTGTAACTGTTATGTTGGCCCCCCTCCTCTCATTCCCCGGATGCCCTGCATAAGCTTTCTGAGGTGAAGTAAAGGTCAAACTAAAAGTAACTCAGACAACCTTTTTAAACCATGTCAGTGGGTGCTAAGGGCTGATTCCTATATTCCCAGAATCCTCCGCTCCATGCATGTAGCATCTGACAATTTCACTTTTACTGATTGGTCATTAATCTTAAGCAGTTATCAATTTGTCCTTTTTACTATTAGATTACAATATTTTAAAAATAAAAGTCTTTAAACTGGTGACTACCAAATGTAGGTTTTTCAAGAAATATTATTAACTCAAGTTAGCAGCAGTACTGTTTTTTTCACATTTTATATCTTCTTTCCCAGAAAATACTTTTAAAATGTAAGGAGTTGATTCTAAATGTGAACAAATCTGAACAATATGCCGTATAATCTTCCCATGAATAAAACATTGTGATCTCTTGTCGGAATTCCATTCATTTGTCCATCCATACATATATCTTTCAACTGCGTTCCTTAGTAATGATTATCAAGGGCCTGGAAACATGTACCAGGCAGCATGGGGTAGCATAGGGCACGAGTCGGGAGATGAGAAATCAGTGTGTCGCAGGGCACTTTCTCTCTCTCACACACACACATACACACAAGGGGCAATTTAGAGACACCAGTTCAACTAAACACTGGTATTTCAACTGTCGTGCTCAAGCAAGCACCTGGAGCACATTAAAAACTCCACATGCAGACTGAGCTGGGACCAGATTTGAACCTGGAGCCCACAGCTGTGAAACAGTTTGCTCTGAATGAACCACTTCTGAGGTGTTAATGGCTTATTGTGAGGGGTAAATTTACAAAGTAACGAGCTCAGATTTCTGTACTTTCATTGAACAAACTTTAATTTAAAGGCATTCAACTGATGACAAACGTTCAAAGAGACCTTTATTTATTACATAAAAAAGAAACCTTTACATGTCTGACAGCATATACTGGTAGACTTCAGTTCAGTCTTGTTCTTTACTGTTCATTTTTCCAAGCAAACGTAACTGCTTTTACATTAACATACCAAATGACACAATGTTTAAGTTACTTTTTCAGCAGCGAATGTAAACAAATAAGTAAACTATCTTTCAAGATTCAAGAGATTTTTAATGTGAATGGAATATACTTTCATATAAAATGATGAATGACAGCTATCTCTAAAAGCAATATGGAATTACTGCAATTTACATAAAACAGATTTAACAGCAATAATTTAGGCAACACGAAGTATTTTTATATATCACTTAAGCCAAAATAAAAATATGCAAAAATATGACTTCACAGATAGTGACCACTACATTACAGAAATACAGATATTTTAACAGTTATTAGTACGATTATGTCATGACACACAGAGTCTGCCTCCTGGCCTTTTCTCTGTCCCAGCAGTATGTCTGCTCAGCCTTGATCCAGTATTGGCCACGTAATAACGACACTGAACACAGACTGCCCCTCATTCCTCATGCTGCCTGCATTCTCACTGCAGCTCCCGAAGGCAGAATCTCACCTCGGTCAGTCACTAGCAACCCAGGCCGCTCAGGGACCCGATGCGATCCAGCTTCAAGCCGAAACAGCCCCGGTTCCAGCCCCTCTTTGCCCTGTCTGGCGAGGCCCTTTTCTGACTGGTTATAGCTCCCCGGAGGAGGCGGACCCAAGCGTTATCATTCTCAGCGGGAATATCGATCCATTTAGGGTACTCTGCGACCTTTAACCCTGAACCGAAGGGCTGTGGCTCTTCCACTGGACTGCTCACTAAATTCTCAAGGTTGTCAAGGGTCAAGAGGTCATTGTAGTGTTCCAAAAACTGTTCCACAAACTAAATGGTATAAAAAGGGGGAAAGAGAGTCAATAAATGGACGATACTCATGCAGTACATATAAATACCAAAGACAACCATATTCACAGTGCTGACAATCCCATTTCAATGAGCAGTGTTTTAATCTGCTGTGGCTGTTAAATATTAATGCATTTTGTCTAACATATTGAGTCCTCCTGTATGTCAAAAGATGCAGCATGCCGTCCATCTACGTGCCTGCATTGCATCACTGGGGTTGTGAAGAGCACGACTCTCTGTATGCTGCGCAGGAACTGTGAGGAGCAGGACTGCGAGGATGAAGGCTGAGGACATGCTGGACCAAGACCTGGGGGGGGGGGGGGGGGGGGGGGGGGGATGCCAGAAAAAAGCCGGGTCTGTACAACTGAAAGACATTCACAGCATAACAATTCTAGTGACTGTCACAGAAACTTACAGAAAATCACATTCCCACCGGTAATTATAAAAAAAAAAATACATTTGGCACTGTGATATTAGTTCTAAAAAAGAATTCATTTAGATGAACAAACAACTATTACATGGACATCTATAAGCTCTATGTTAGTGAGAGAACGTTTTCTGACTGGGGTGTAGCGTGAATCATTCACGCCTGATGTTTCCCCAGCCGGTGTCCCCTCCCATCGCCTTACCTGTCACCCACGGCGTACCTACAGAGCCACTCACCTTCCCTTTTATGTTCCCCTGAGAATCCGCGATCTGGCAGCTGTTGTTTCTGTGTTTCACAGGCTGTGTTCCATGCCTCCTTCCCTCTCTTTCTCTCTCTTTCTCTCTCTCTCTATCTCGCTGCCTCTCACACACTTTTGGCATCCACTTAAAGCCGCTCCCTCGGCGATGGTGTAAACGTTCCGTGGGCTTCGGTTCACTTTCTGTGCAGTTAGCTCAGTGTCTGTGTGTTCACTCTGAGGGAGGGAGCCCGTGTATATAGCAGCTGATCTCCCCCCCCATCCGGCCCCCACACTCTCTGCTTTCTCTTCACAAAGGGGTGCTGCCGCAGCTGGGTACGATGTGCCACACGGCCAGAGGGGCCAGCAGTCACAGGTGGCTGTGGCGTTTCCCAGAACATGACATAAGACGGGCACAGACACCCACCAGGGTCAGGGCTCGGCCAGAACAGCTCGCAAAATGTCACCTTGGGCCCCCCTTCGGTTGGCACTTTCAATCTAAGGAAATACATGTCAAGCGAGAGTGAGGCGCCCCCCTCACTAAATTTTGCCGTAGGTTGGCAGAGAGGCTCAGTAGATTTTTGGCCCCTATGAAATGCTCCCTGAATCTGCCAGGGTGTACATGACCCTCCGGTGCCCCTGTAGGTCGGTATCATGGCATTCACGCCGAGGCCACCCCACCACCCAATACCCTTACATCACTTTTCGCTCCCTTTTCACCATCCGTCCCTGGAAGGTGCACAAACGGTGCAGGCTGCCAAGCAGCACAACGGTTCTGGTGTCATGCTTCCTGCCATCTTAGGCACGAGCACCGCACATATTGAACAATTACAATAAGTAGATTTTTTTTCCACCAGTGATCTGGCAACATTGAGGCAATTTTGAGACAGACATGACAAGACTTGCTTGATACCCAGTGGCAGATACATAGGATACACTTGAAAGCGGCGTTTGGAAAGTTTCGATGATGACTGAGCCTAATGGTTACGGCATAAAGATGACAACCCGTCTGGTCTTGCTTCGAAGGCTTGATGTGTCAGAGCGACACTCTACTATTGCTAGCTTCACACCGCTTGTAACAAAACTAGCTAAACACCATCTAGTTTTTTCTATAATTTTAACTACTGGCACTGTCTGTACGGCCCATCCACACTCCTCCTGGTGAGTTACAGTCTGTCAGGGCCATCTGCCGTCCCAGCGCCCACGGTCTTCATGCTGTCCCAGCACTGCTCTCCGCACACAGCGTCCAACACAAATACCAACCATCGGCGGAGATGTCACACATGCTGGCTGGACATATTGCCAATGTAGT